TTCCCTCCTTTACCTCCCAACTTAGAGTGTAAGATTTTAGTGTAAAATTTCTCCTCATTTTCCTCCTCTACCCTCCCAATAAAACTCCCAAATAATGTTAAACTCAAATTTCTCTTCCCCTTCCCTTCTCTACCCTCCATCCAAACACAACATAAGTTATAAGAAAGTAACACTTTAGTACCCTTTGTTAATGGTCAAGATATATTCCTAGGAACATTCCCAAGACAACTACCAAAAGGTATTAATGTGCCAATTTTTTACAACTTAGGATACTAAAATGTTACAACTTAGGGTATTTAAGTGTAAAGATCGTAAAATAATGAGGTATTTAAGTGTCATTTTCCCTTTAAATTAATCCTTTGAAGCATGGAGAAACTTTGCTAATTACATCATGATATATAGTAGTGTTTCTTGTTAAAGAAATTAGGGAAAATTGCTTCTAGCCCCCAAAATAACAACAAGTATTCTCACTCCAAGACTTTTTCAAAGCTACTAAAGCCCCCAAAAGCAAATTCATAATTCTTTTCACCCCCAAAATTTGGAATTGAACCCCTCATGTGCATTTTCAAACATATGAACCCCAAAATAACCTCACTCACTCTCTCTAGCAGCCGGTCACTGGAGAATAGGGACTGTAGGTATTAATAATGATTAGAAAGGGATTTTGGAGGAAAAAAACCTCATTTCCCTCTAAATTCTAACCATTTTCTACCTCTCTATCCTCCCCCAAATAAATCATCTTTGCTTACCCCAACTACTCTCTCCCGGCCATTTAATTAGCCTCCATAAACCCTCTTTGATTCTTCAACTATTTTTCTTCAAAATAACGGATGGATCCCTCCTTTGCATGGTTACAAACACAAAAAATAACGAAGAGGGTGATGATGTTTACATAGTTATCAATGAGTCTACATAAATCATTAACTTGAAGTATCAAGTGTCCCAAAGACTTAAACTATCATTGCAACTAAAATTCATATCCGAAAGGGAAACAAAAGTTTGGTTTTGCGATTAAAAATGACGAGGACTTGAGATTGATGTTCGAGTATTGTCGTCGTAATAGATTTACAGATATAAACTTATATGCTACCTCCGCTGGGGAATCCTCAACTTCTCAGAACACCCAAACTTCTCCAGAAAATGCGTAGGTATTTCAATTTTAATTTCCTTATGAGTTGGTTGTTAGGGTTATGAGTTGGTTGTTAATCTTAGTAGATAGCTATGAGTTGATTGTTAACCTTATGTATTTGTTGTATAGGTTATGAGTTGGTTGTTAATATTTTGAGTTGGTTGTTAATCTTAGTAGGTAGTTATGAGTTGATTGTTAAGGTTATGAGTTGGTTGTTAAGGTTATGAATTGGTTATTAAGATTGAGTTGGTTATTAAGGTTATGAGTTTGTTGTTAAGGTTACGAGTTTGTTATTAAACTTAGTAGATATTTATGAGTTTTTGTTAGCCTTATGAGTTGGTTGTTAATGTTATGGTTGGTTGCTAACCTTGCAAGTTATTTGTTAACCTTTTTCAGGATTGTCCCGACAGAAAATTTATGATACAAAGTTGCTACGCTCATCCAAGCATGTAATGATGAGCGTATTCCTAGGTATGCCAGGAACACTGATTAGATACCAGATCATGCTCAGCTGATAAAGGATTTGTCGTAGGACAAAGTCCTTTACGTCTTCTCAGTCAGTTGGTTGTACAAGCTTTGTGAGTAGATCCTCAACATGACGTCTGGTGGGTGTTGGAGGAGCCTTACTGCTGTCACCCTTAGTTTAAAAAAAACCTCAACTAAATTTTATTTTTTCGATCTCGGTTGGGCGACAAAATCCCCCTCATTGGAGAACTATGTATGGCTCATAACCCATTCAAGGTTGGATGAGCACTTGATATCTTATCCACTTTGGTATTAGTGAAGACAAATTTCATCTTATTCTCGTCCCACTATCTCAAAACGTGCTCGAAAGTGGGAGGATCAAGACCAAGATGGCCAAAATGAATATAGTGTCTGAATACACTATCTTTGTAGGCATCCCAATGTCTTTGGCCCATATGTTGCACTAAAGAATGCATGAATTCATAGTTAACAGTAAAGCTGGAAGTAGGCCGCAACTCTGATACAACATTTTGTCTACAAAGAAAAAAAACAAGACGTAATTAGTTTAAAAATAATCCGTAATCATAACAATTATGCTGTAAACTTGACAAAGAAACTGTAACATTTACAATAAATCCATAAAGCTTAACAACTATTCAATAATCTCAACAACCAATCAATAACCTTGATAATAAAAGCATAACCTTAACAATAAACATGTCACAAGTTAACAATAACATTAACAACTAAAAGCCACACATTAATAGTAACATTAACAACTCGCAATCATAAGTCAATAGTAACATTCACAGCAGACTCATAACCTTAACAATTAATAGGCCACAAGTTAACAGTAACCTTAACAACTAACATGCCATACGTTAACAGTAACCTTAACAACTAACAAGCCAAAATTAATAGTAACCTTCGCAACAGATTCATAAATCTTAACAACTATTGTAGAACCTTAACAATTAATGAATGTCATTGACAACTAAAAGAAAACCTTACAACTTAACTGTAACTTTCACAATTAACACAATATGCAACATCATAAATAACTAAATTATGTAGCAAACTCACCTCTTTTTGATTGTCAAATGCATCTCTTCCACATCGATCTTATTCGATCCTCTCTTTAGATCGAGGAGTGCTCTCGAGGCGTCGGTGCTGCCATCTACATTAGTGCGTTGGACTAGGTTTGTGGGTTGAACTGGATTTGTGGAAGGAGGATGACTAGCTCTTTTGTCCTCGATCGAGAACATCAGCAATTGATGTGCCTGCTTCAGTTCACTCTGTGCTCGAAGGCCTTTTTCGACGATGTACTATGACGCGTTGTCATCTTCGTTGATATCTATTGGGGCGATCACTTTGAGACCTGATTGCCGGCCATGATTCCGATCAGGGTGTACGATGGAAAGATTACAAGAGACTAGGTTGGACTCCGCTCTGGGGTGAGTTGATTTAGGGTTAGGGTTTAGAAATTGGGGATATTCAGTTCGCTTGGACGGAAGAGAGAGGCTAGCATGCTCGACGAGGAGTGGTTTTGAGAAGTGGGAGGCGGTTAAATCAAAGGGCATTTTGGGGATTTTTTAAACACCGAGTCACATGGGAATGAGGTTTGGGGCGAAAGGAATTATGAATTTGCTTTCACATGGGTATCAAAAAACCCTCTCCAACTTTACTATTTTATCGTAAAACCCCATAAAAATGTCAACCATAACTTTCACAGGGGTTAGTAGAATTACGTAGGAGTATTCTTTTCATCAGTAAAAATTGTGGCTCACGTTTTTAAGGGGGCTTACTTTTTTTTTATAATACTTAAAGTTAAGGGGCTGTTTGGTTCCCTGTTTTTGAGGGAAATACTCTCTTGAAAGCCTGCCAAAAGTGCCAAAAGTGTCACTTTTTGGCAAGCTTTCAGCTAAAATCTCCTCTAAAAAAGAAGATTTTGATTGAAAGCCTGCCAAAAAGTAACACTTTTGGCATTTTTGACAGGCTTTTAAGAGAGCATTTCCCTCAAAAACAGGGAACCAAACAGCCCCTAAAGGGAATGTTCTGATAACCCCTAAAGTTAAGTGTGTTAGGTTGAGGGTGGATACCAACCTACGACGGCGGAGGAGCTCCGACGAGCTCCAGGAAGACGCAGGGGATTCAAACAGGAGAAGAATATTTTGCACAGTGATAGTCAGAGTGCGATACACTTGGCGAAGAATTCAACATTTCATTCTAGAACGAAGCATATTGCGCTTCGGAACCACTTCATCAGATCCATGTTGGAAGATGACGTGTTAAAACTGGAAAAGATTCCAGGAAGTAAGAATCCAGCAGATATGTTAACAAAGTAACACTTTTGGCATTTTTGACAGGCTTTTAAGAGAGCATTTCCCTCAAAAACAGGGAACCAAACAGCCCCTAAAGGGAATGTTCTGATAACCCCTAAAGTTAAGTGTGTTAGGTTGAGGGTGGATACCAACCTACGACGGCGGAGGAGCTCCGACGAGCTCCAGGAAGACGCAGGCGAGCGCTGGCGAAGTCGACGGCGAACCCCCCAGGCGAGTTCGAGCCCCGCAGTCGAAGACGCGACCCTCGAGCGAGACGCGACCCTCGAGCGAGACGCGACCTTCGAACGCGTACCTGACCCTCGCGTTGCTCAAGCACGAAGAACGCGACCCTCGGCATTTGTCGACTCCGACCATCGCGTCTGCCTCCCACCTCCGCGTCCGAGCGGATCGCTGGCGACAGGCTGTCGCCAGCCTGTCCAAATCCCGCCTATTTAAACCCTCGATGCCCTAGGGTTTTGTGTGCCGAAGCTTCTCCTCCCCGACATTCTCTCTGGCGGCGGAAGAAATCAACGCAGCAGCGTTCTAAAGCCCGAAAATCACAACAGTGATTTTCTAATTAATCCCCAGCTTTTCAACGGTGGTTGAGGGGGTATGGTTTTAAAGAGAGAGAGAAAAGAGAAGTGGGGTTTTATTGTGGACATTCACTTATTCTCAAGTGATAAATTGAAAGGGTTTATTCCCTTTAATCATTAACACTGTTGCTACAGTGTTTATCTGAGAAATCTCAGTTTAGGGATTTGCTCCTAAATTTGTAATTTCTTGTTTGATTAAATAAGAAATTTTCTGTGTGGCTCCCGAGGACGTAGGCAGTTGCCGAACCTCGTTAAACTTGGTGTATTGTTCTCTATTCTGCGTTTCCGTTGCATTAGGGGTTTCAACGTTAAATTCCCAACAAAGTGATGTTTAGAAACTTATGGAGAATTATCTAATAATTACCCAAAGTTGAGACGGTTCTCTGGAAATTTAGCCTTTTTTTCTTTTTTTTTCAATTTCCAAAAAAAAGAAGAAAAATTGAAAATGGCCTTAGACGTCGATTGGACAAGAAGTGAAGCTACCTTCTCTTATCTCATTCATCAAAATACAAACCAAAAAAAAAAGCCAACCTCTTCTTCCTTCTCTTCGACTTCAACGCCAACATCTCCATCCATCAAAAAGAGAAGAAGAAGAAGAAGAAGAAGAAGAAAAGAAACAAACAATGTCGACATTTCCCTTCACCCTCTCCTCTCTCTCCAAACCCATCACCTCCTCATTCACTGCCCATCTCCCCCCTCTCCCTCAAAACCCCAAGCCCCCTTCTCCCTCCATCCACACTACAACGAACACTCTCAAAATGACCCATGATCAGGATTACTCCACTCCTTTGGGCCGTCGAGGCGTCCTCTCTGGCTGCTTCGGCGCTGCTCTCGGCGCTCTCTCGCTCTCGGCCTCGTCCGAAGCTGCGATATTGGAGGCCGACGATGATGTGGAGTTGCTTGAGAAGGTGAAGAAGGATAGAGAGAAGAGGCTACAGAGGCAGGGTGTCATTAGCTCCTCCAACAAAGAGACAGGTCTGCTGTAGCTTGTTGATTCTTTTTGCCATCTTCTTCGTTTGTTTGTTACAGAAATTGGATGCATATGTTGAATTCTACGTTCGATTACTATTAATTTGGGAGAAAGATCAAATCTTTTGGTCGAAAGACTGAGCTTTTTTGTTGAAGGACCAAAGTTATCACGCAAGTCAAATGTCTTTTTAAGACTGGAATGTAAACTACTTTACACAATAACATATTTTTTTCTAAATCCACTCTATAATCCTGAGTTGCTCTAATACTATATCTTAATGTTTCTTCCCCAGTACCAAAACATCAAATTGTAGCTGAGTATTGAGGATTATAATGCTATATATTCTTAATACTTGATACCAAGAGAAGGAAGGACTTGTTTCTTCTCCATACCACCTATGAATGGCATTCGTTAGCATATTTCGTCGGGTCTTATTTTATGCTCGTTCATGTGCGCAAACATCTCATAAATTTTGGTGCCAAATGGTGCTAATCAAAATTCTCAGAATCTATTAATGTCCTGGGACCAAATACATACGAGCGCGCGTAGTTGGGATACTTTTGCTCCTCATTGACATATCATACTTGTGCTAATGTGCGCAAACATCTCATAAATTTTGGTGCCAAATGGTGCTAATCAAAATTCTCAGAATCTATTAATGTCCTGGGACCAAATACATACGAGCGCGCGTAGTTGGGATACTTCTGCTTCTCATTGACATATCATACTTGTGTCTCAGCATACCCCATTTCGAGACAGAATTGAGGAGATATCATACTTGTATCATAAGACTCTTATGGTTGCTAATGCCAGTATATTGGCACCCTAACGTCTGATATTATAGATATTCTCACATCTGTGAACCCTTTTGGGCACTGGGATGGTGTAAAGGCCTTTTCCTCATGGTTCAATTCAAATTCAGAATATCAAAATGATTCCTCGAATTAACTAGTGATTTATGCTGACTCTTTCTGGGGGTTCTTGCTGTGTCAGTTGGAACTTGATTCATGATGTGACTTGATTTCATGCGGAATTTAGGAATGTTCCTATATGTGTCAGTCATTTGTTGAGTGTTATGGAGTTACAAGAAAAATAAAGAGTTAAAATATTTTCCTAATTATAATTCAGCTTCCATGAAATTAGATTAAGAAAAGAAAAATAAAAGAACCGATAATGATTCTTGAAGATGACAAACAGAAGTGTCGTCTTCTCCTGGTTATCTTTCCTTTTAAGACCGCAATAAGCTCAACTTCTCTGATAGACTTGACATAACTAATCAGAAACGTGCTGCTACTCTGGTCCTCTAGCCAAAAATCTTTACGCAATTTACACAAAAGATCATCTGATATTGATGATATCTCTGATGGCAAAATAGACTAAATTATAGTTCTGCTAAATTTAATCTAAAACCTTTTGTGGAGTATGGGTACTAATGTTAAGCGCATGGAAATCCTAGTAAGATATGGCTTTATTCTGTACTAGATGGTGTCATAATTATTTTCATGTCATGATATCTGCATGTACTTCATACAATTAAAAATTGGAGGGCAGATGATATAGAGCTTTGCAATTTTCCACATTGTGTATAGAATCCGTCTTATTTTATGCTGGTATTAAGGGACTGGATATGATGCATTATCTTTTGCCCTTCATTTTGCTGGGATGCACTGTATAAATGTTTTGAAGGGTACTATGCCGTTTGCATTGGTTGATTATTTTCCTCAATGGCAGGAGAGGCTTTGGTTAGGATTTCTGTTTTAAAAAATGCCAAAAGGAGAAGAAAAATGATGCCAGACCTCACAAATTATAAATCCATAATATTGATTAAATAGATTATCACAAACCAAATGATCCTTTTGATTGAAAAACCACGGATAAGGGAAGGAAGGAGGTACTTCAGTTGGATCTTTAAATACATCTTAGTATACAAAATTTATCTTATTTAGCATGACATAAGCACAAATGAATAAGATGACCGCTGGCTTTTGATGACTGCATGCCACAAACCCTCATCAAAGAAA